ATGTAATTGGAAAAAAAATAATATTTTAAAAAAAAAAGACTAATCCCTCCTTTAGTCTACTCTTACTTATTTCCCAATCTCCCTTCTCCTCATACCCTCCTGTGTTTTCCTATTTAGTGAAATGTGGTTTTGTACCCAATTCTGCGTGTACATTCTTCCCTTCTTTGACCAGTTCAGAAGATAATGACATTCAAGTGACACCTTCTTCCCCTATCCTTTCCTCCTTGTTTGTATAGACTTCTACTTGCATACACAAATTAGGATAATTTTCCCTAATCTTCCTCTCCTTTTCCTTGCTTAATATATTCCTCTTGCCCTCCCTTTCTAGTCTTCTTTTGACATCATTAAGACATGATAGGGTTCAGAGGGGATGCATGTATCATCTTTCTACATTAGAATGTAAACAATTTATCTTTGTTTAGTTCCATATGATTTTTTGCTCATGTTTACCTTTTTATTCTTCTCTTGATTTCTGTGTTTGCAATTCATAGTTCCTATGTAACTTTGGTTTTTCCTCAAGAATGCTTGAAAATCCTCTATTTCATTAAAAGTCCATTTTTCCCCCTGAATATAGGATCATAATTAGTTTTGTTGGGTACGTTATTCATAACTATAAGCATGTGTGTGTATGTGTGTGTGTTTATCTATCTATTTATCGATATACTTTGCCTTCTGGAATATTATATTCCAAGCTCTCTGCTACTTAGTAGTGGTGGCTGCTAAATCATTTGAGATCCTGACTGTGGTTCCTCAGGATTTGATTTCTTCCTTTCTGACTATTTGTAAAATTTTTTCTTTGATCTGAAGGCCCTGGATTTTGGCTATAATGTTCTTGAAAGTTTTCATTTGGGGATTTCTTTCAAGAGGTGATTGATTGGTAGATTCTTTCTCTATTGACTTTTCACTCTTGTTTTAAGAGATCTGGGCATGTTTTTGAAAATAATTTCCTAAAATATGTCTAGGATCACTTTCTGATCATGGCTTTCAAGTACTCCAGTAATTTTTAAATTCTCTCTCCTTGAACTGTTTACCAGGTCTGTTTTTGCTATATAAGATACCTTACATTTTCATTTTCTTCTCCCCCTCCTCAAGTTTTTAGTGTTCCCAAAATGGTCTCATCCAGGCCAAAGTCTGATTTTCTTTCTCCCTCCTACCCCCCACCCGTTACCCCGATCTGGTCTAAGATTTTCAAGTTCCTGACCTGGGTTTGAGTCTGAGCAAACATACTCGTTGTTTTGCCCCATTTGGAGGTCCAGTAGATTGCTGCTTCAGGGTGACAGAACTGTAGATTTTCCTTTGGTTTTGGATTCCTGTCCTGGCTATTCCTTTTGAGTTTTCCAATTGAACTGGAAGTTGGAACTGAGACTGCTCCTGGGATCAGAACCACACACCTGCTGCTGCTTGCTTCTGAACTTGCTTTTTGTTTAATACACAGTCTAGCACCTACAGCTACTTCTCACCCTGGAATGATGCCAGTAGAAGGGTCCCTCCTCAGTCTCCCTTGGATGTGTGACCTGGAACTGGTCTATGAGCAACAGAGCTGCCAGTTGACACCTATTCCTTTTCCATTTACAAATTTAGGTTCCTTTGTGCTAGATCTCAGTGCTAGATTTCTTCTTGACCTGGTGCTCCTTGTGCTATCATATTCCTACATGTGCTCCTGGTTAGCCCCTATCCCTAGTATCCTCACTCATCTCTATCTGTGTCCCTATGCCAAACTGGGCTGGAAAAATGACTCACAGTTATTCTTTTCTTATATTTCCTAATCAGGACTGCATCTGGTGCATATTCTAGATTATAGTTTGGATCAGTAAAGAGAAATAAATGTTTTTGTATTTTCTTATAAAAATATGAGCAAATGAAATTTAGTCTCAATTTCAAAGGTCTTATATTCTAATTAATACTCTTCATAAAACGATAATTGTTAGTAAGTCTTTTCAAATCAAAATGAGCTTAGATTGGAAGTACAATTTAGATCACTATTCTTCCTGATGTGGATCTAAACATTTGTTTCTGATAATACCTATAATATATTGGATTATGTATTTCTCAAAAAGAAAGGTCATTTTGAAGGGATTCCAAAATATGTCTTACACAGATATGCAATGTCTCCATCAGAACTCTTAAAAAGGAAAAATTCCAGAGCCACACTGTATTTTCAGAATTCCCAAGCTAGCTGTATTCATGACAGCATCTCTGTGAAAGGTCAAGAGCCAATGAATTTAGCACTTCCTGGACAGCTTTTTAGCAGCTTGAGACCAACTGAATGGGTGATATTTATACCATAGACTTTTCAAAATGGGTAGATTATAGAGGAATTTGGATATCTGCACTTCGCTCATTGTGTTTAAATGTTCCTAACGTGCTTTATGTTGGTAGAATAATGAGTAACTAAGACGATAATAGAAACCAATCTAGTAGTACAGTTTATGTTGAAAATTTATGTGTTCATGGTAACTTGAGAAGGAAGAGAGCCCAAATAACGAGGGGGATTAGGAAAGGCTTCCTGTAAGTGATGGTACATGAGCTTATCCTTGAAGGAAGCTAGAGGGTCTAAGAGGCAGAGGTGCTGAAGAGAGTACATTCTAGATGTGGGGGGCAGCCTGTGAAAGGCACGGAGGTGAGAAATGTGCTGACTTTGGGGAACATTAAATAGGCTAGTTTTGTTGAAATGTGGGGCATATGAAGAGGAATAATGTGCAGTAAACTTGGAAAGGAATGTTGGAGCCAGAGTATGAAGGACTTTAAATGCCAGACTGGAGGGTTTTTAATTATATCCTAGAGACAGTAGGGAACCACTGAGGTTCCTTGAGCAGAAGAGTGGCATAGTCAGATTTTTTTCTGTAAGGAGCTATGACATGAAAGTCCTGGGAGGACAGAGTACAATCTTCAGGAGGGCACGGTCAGCATTGTTAGATGCTGCAGAAAGGTCTGGAGAGATGAGGTTTGAGAACAGCAGGTCACTGGATATCAGGCCTGGCCCATAAAGCAAGGAAACTATTTTCTGAACTTAAATGTGCTGGCATTAGTTCTTTCAGGCCACAAATGTTAAAAGTGCAGTGGAGAAAGAATTTTTTTTTTTAATGCATATACTAGCCTGGGAAAGTTAATAGGCTTCCCAGAATAATTCTTTTAGGTTTACCTTACTTGCCTGTAGAATCTGGCCTACCTGTCTGTCATTCGTTCTCAAGACATCTTTTTGAGGTTGATAGGCCTTTTGCATTCATTTAACACATAATGAGCTTTTACTTATTGTTTAACTCCTAACAAATTAAATGATTTGGGGGAAGCAAAAGGAAGACATAGAAAGAGTTCACACTCTAATTAAATAGAACCAAGATGCCTAGAGAACAAATACAGGCAGAATATTAAGAACTGCATTGAAAATGTCCTAGAGATTAATAGGGGTACACAGCAAGAGGAACAGAAGTACTTTTTTAATGGTATTTTATGTTTTCCAATTACATGTAAAGACAATTTTTGACATTCATTTTTTTATAAGATTTTCAGTTCCAAATTTTTCTCCCTCCTCTTTCTCCTCTCCCCTTTCCTCTCCCAGAGACATTAAGCAATTTGATATAGGTTATACATGTGCAATCATGTAAAATATATTTTTATATTGGTCATTTTGTGAAAGAAGAAGCAGAACAAAAGGGAAAAAAAATACAAAAAAAAATGAAAATAATATGCTTTGATCTGCATTCAGACTCCATCAATTCTTTCCCTGAATGTGGATAGCATGAGTCTTTTGACATTGTCTTGGATCATTGTATTGCTGCAAGTTAGAGCTAAATCAGTCATAGTTGATCACTGCACAACGTTGCTGTTACTGTGTACGATGTTCTCCTGGTTCTGAGGAGCCTAAGCATTGACTAGATTTAATCATAGAATCTCTGGTTTGGAAGGAACCTCAGAGACCATCTCCCCTGCCTGGCACCTGCATAAGACTCTTTTCTGCAACTTTAAACATGTGGTCATCAGTCACATCACCACTGCTTTCAGTAATGGATGAAACACTTTAAATATTATAAGCATGCTTCAGAATCTTAAGAATAACAGAGTTGGATAAAGCTGATAGGAAATCTCGGTTTTTCAGGGGTTTTATTGCTCAGCTCTATGAATAATTATAAATGGAAAATTAGACATGCTTTCTGGTAGAGCAGCCCAAGTAGACAGTATAATTTGATTTTCAGTGGAGGCTGATCATTCTTCAGCAAAGAAATTCAGTCCTTTTGTAGAATAAGGACCTGATATGGGTTATCTCAGGGTCATCGAATTAGATTTTTAGAGTTGAACAGGACTTTAGAGAGAGGTCATCATGTTTCTAGATACTTAGAAAGGGAATTTACTATAACAATAACAAGGAAAAGACTCTTTAAGGGGGGTAAATTAAGAAATGGAAAAAATGAAGTAAAATATCTGTAGGATCCTGATGTTGAATTTCTTGCTATAGTGAGAGAGCCTTACAAGGGAGATGGTTGAGAGGCCAACAGGCCATGTGTCCAAGCCAAGAAATATGATTTCTATTTATCACAGGAAGTAGTCCTGGCCCATAGTTAAGAAGGAGATAATCCACAATAAAGGGGCTTTCCTTCATTTTATTTCTCCGATCTGGTGCCAAAAGCTTCTTGAGGAAACATTCAAAACTCTGTCCAAGCTTCGTGATAGTGACTGACTGTTGCCATATTTCTTCCTAATAATTGCTTCAAGGGCATTTCTGTATTTCCCTTCAATCACCACATTCCCCAGCATTTAACAAAGTATAACTTACAGTAAAGGAATAATAATAGAAAAGATCTGTTCTGTAGATTTAGAGAATGCGCCTTTGTGACCCTTTCCTTTCTCACCAAGAGTGAGAAGGGAATGCTGTTTGCTGGTGCCTGGCTGCCCCTCTCAAAGGAAGGACAAGAAGTTCTTTTCTGAAATGTTTAATTTCCACAATTTCTGGCCTATGGGAACCCTGGCAAACTGTTTTTTCTTCTGTGTATTTTCTCTTTCAGACCTTTTTATGTGGAGCCCACAAACATCATCAGTGTGACTAGTGACACTCCGAGGGTCAGTGACCATGCCTCTGCCATGAACAAGCGAATTCATTACTACAGCAGACTCACATCTCCATCCGACAGGGCACTGGTGAGGGGCAAAGCCCAAGTTTCTGATAATACATTGAAACAACCATGGCAGCACCCACATGGTTGCCATTCTGGTCGAACTTTGAACTAGCCAGATGCCAAGGGCAGCATTAGAGAAGGCTAACAGGTTTTCTACTCACTCAGTCTGAAAATTGCTCTGGCGTCTGCTTGAAGAGCAGTAGCCCTAGAGAGCCTGAACTTCATCCAAGTTATCCCCAATCCCAGGGGTCCTGGGAAAATATTTCTGAAACCCCAGTAATACCTTGGGTCTTTGATGGACCACAGTTCTGATAAAAGTTGTAACTCTTTTTTTTCCTGATTGTGAAGCTATAGGGAGCCACTTCACATTTTGTGGCAGATAGATTTTTGTTTTGTTTTGTTTTGTGTTTTAATTTTGAGGGTTTTATTTTGATAGGAAGAGGGGGACAGAAGAGGTAAAAACTCAAGGGAAAATTTGAATATTTTTCTTTTAGCACCTTTTCACATATGTAGAGTTTTTTTGTTTGTTTTTTTAGAAACCTAAAAGTGTAACATGGCTTTCTCACAGAATAATCACATTAACTATGTTAAGTGATATATGAAAGCCTGGGAATTAAAAAGAAAAAAATTGACCAACAAATCTTTTTTTTCGATGGTGGAGATTAAGCTAAGAGTGGAGAGGTGACCAAAATAATTATTGAGGGACAATTTCTTCCCTTATTTTTTGGGCCTTCATATTGCGAGTTGAGGTGGGAACTCCATGTTCACTTGATCTGATTGTAAAGTTACCTGAACTCATGAGGCGGGACAGAACTAGTTTCTTCCCTCAGGAACCAATATGGACCTCCTGAGGGTGCTGCTGTTGGGAACAGGCCCTAGTTTTTTCATAGGATGTACTGGCTCTGAATGCATAAGATTGAGCTTTAACTAAATTAACCTTAGACCTCAAGAGGGGTGCATAAACCATTTGACTTAAGTACAACGAGCCTGCTACATGTTGGTTAACAAAGGCAGCAAAGAAGAGAGACATTGTGGTGTACTTGCTTTTTTGAACTTTCCCCTGTGTGTGACTGCGTTTCCCAAAGGGACTTCTATCTCAATCACACTGCTTTGGGTACAGTGAAAGTTTACAGGTCCCCAGCAAGAGCCACCCCCAGAGATTTTTGAAGAACTTGGCTCTCAGTAACTGGAAAAAGTGGTAGCAGGACCCCAGAAAATACCAAATAGAGGCACAGACATTCTCTCCAGAAATTCTCAGAGCCAGACCCTAACAGTTCCAATTTAGGAAGTAAGACTGGAAAGGGAATAAACAAAACAACTGATGATAAAGAGCTAATAGGCTGCCAGGAACAACCAAAATGCATTTTCCAAGGTTGTGAGAAATGTTAAATGTGAAATATATTATGGAACAGTGACATTTGGTTATATTTTTACTTGCGTAATGTCTCCCTTTTTCCCTTATATTTTTACTTTAAAATAATGAAAAGAATAAAATTATGTATTTGGTTGGTGACATGCCCTGGACTTTCCCCAAAGCAACCACAATATCTTTGTCTTTGTGCTCAGATTTTCCATTTCTTCCAAACCCCCGCCCCCATCAGTTTCTTCTGCTCCTTCTACTCTAGTCCTGTCCCAGACTGCCTTCTTCTTCCCTACTCACTTCACAGGCTGGGGTAGGCAGTTTCCTACCTGACAAAGGCCAACGCTAGTGTTCTTTTGTTCCGTGGCTAAAAGTAGCACTTCCCAGGTCCAAGAGCAGTGAGGGAGAGGCAAACATCTGACCCATTTTCCGAGTGTCTGCTTCCCAAAGAAGCAGATTGCCAAGTTCTCTCAATTGTGGTGTCCTAGGCACACATCCTTCCTTTTCTTACCAGATAATGTAAATGCTGCCATGCTTCAACGGAGTCAGCTTCTCACACTCTAGTTCACATGGATCTCTTCATTCTTTGAGATTCTTAGTCTGTATTCTATACGTCTATAGTCTATACCACTTACTTATACTTTGTTCATCTTCTAATTGTTTTGTGTGTTATTGAGTTTGGAGATCACAGGAGCCTGACAGACAAGTTCCAGGATCCCATTATTGCTGGCACTGGCACACCCATAGGGTCTCTCAGAGAGAGTATTCTTAGGGATGCAGCATCTGCTGATCCTGCTCCTGACATGTCACTACCTCCCCCAGGTATAGCTGGGCAGCTAGGAAGTGGACAATACAAGCACGCGTGTTCACGTGCTTGTGTGTTTGTGTGTGTGTGTAATTCCTTAAAAAGAAATAAACAAGAGGCTGCTAGGTGGCACAGTGGATAGGGCTGTGGCCTTGGAGTCAGAAGGACCTGAGTTCAAATGTGACCTCAGACACTTGACACTTGCTAGCTGTATGACCCTGGGCAAGTCACTTAATCCCGATTGCCTCAACAAAAAGCAATAAATAAATAAATACACACATTCTTCCATTATTCTGATAACCAAAGAGAAGGCAGTTGGCAGAGTTCACCGCTACAGACAAGCATCATCTGGATTAGTGGTGTCAAACTCAAATAGATATGAATCTCTCTAAACCATGTATGGAATTAAAAACTACAAATGAATGTTATCTGTGTTGTATAGTTTTTATTTATTTTTTTAAACATTTCCCAGTTTCATTTTAATCTGGTTCTGGTTATACTACACCTCACTCTCCCATGGAGGAAGAAGGAACCTTTTCAGAGACAGTCTCCAACACACACGTTGGTCTTACTGGTCCTTTGTCCTACCATCATACCTTGCTGTACTTTTTTCCTAATATACTGATGTCATGTTCCTAACCATATCAGAAGCTTTTTAGGAGCATTAACCAGACATCTTATTTTTTCCCCGTTGCTGTGCCTAATACAGTGCCAGACAAATAGCAAACATTTAATATACTTGTTGGTTGATGTCAACTAGCAAGTTCCTGTATCCCTGATTGCTTATTTGGGAGGGACTATTTGACCTCAAGGAAATTACGTTTTTATAAAGAGTCATAGAATCTTAAAATTAGAAGGGACTTGAGAGGTCTTTCCAATCTTCCCTTAAAGCTACATGAATCTTCTTTATAGCCTCCCTGGCAAATGATCATGTGACCTGTCTGAAGCTCTCCATAGACCAGGAGCTTACTTCTTCCTAAAGTGCTAGATTGTGTTTTTGTACAGTTCTGACTTTTGGGAAAAGTCTCCTTTTATTAAGCCAGAATTCACCTCCAATGTATTTTCACTGATTTTTGCTAACTTAGCCTTGTAACTTTTCTTTTTTTCTAATTGTAAAGCTATAGGGAACCACCCCACAGGTGGAAGGTGTTTTTTGGTTGTTTTTTTTTTTTTTTTAAATTTTCGAGGGTTTTGTTTTGGTAGGGAGAGGGGAAGGAAGAGATAAAAACTCAAGGGAAAATTTGAATGTATGCTGTACTTTTTTCTTTTAGCACTTTTTCACATATTTAAGGGCCTCCAAGGCCAAGGAAAACAAATTATCCTTTTTCTCTGTGATGACCTTCCCAAGAATTTGAAAACTATTGTTTCCCAAACATTCTCTTTTCTAAGAAGCTAACTATTTCTTTAGTTCCTTCAACTGATACGTGACATTTTCCCACTTCTCTTCACTATCCTGATAAACCTTCACTGGATGTGGTCCTGTTTGTCAGTTTTCTCCTTTCTTGGCATGTGGCATCCAGAACTGGGCATGATGCTCCAGATGGGTTTTAATGAGAGGAGAGTACAATATAGTGTTGTTTCTTATGCTCTGCTAATCCAGTCCAAGTTCACATCAGCTTCTTGGAGTGCCTTGCCTCTATGGACTCGTTAACTCCTGTCTCCTGCCCTCTCCTTTTTTCATATAAATGGCTTTTCTAGCCTTTGCTTCCCCAGTTGTGTACTTCTACAGTTTTTAAAAATTCATGTAGCATTTTGCATTTGCCTTTAGTACTTCCTTCATCATAGATCAGAGGATAGCAGGAAAAAATATGTCCTTTTCATCAAGGGGATTGATGGAAAAAATAAGCTTCATTCAAATAACTATATCATTATAGGTTGAGCTAGTTCTTTTATGTAAGTTATAGTAAATATTTGCTCAAAATAGGATGCTCTGGATAATTTAACACTAACTGGGAAATACTATAAATGTATGTGTATATACATATATATGTACAGATACTGGGTATGTATATGTATATATTATACACACATATATGTATATAGAGTGGTTTTATTGTGAGATAGATAGATAAATGGATAGATGGATGGATGGATGGGTAGATGGATGGATGGATGGATGGATGACTCCCTCATATACCTGCTTGTTTTTCATATTTAAATCTTTCCCGTGGTAGAAAGATAGATAGAAAGTTAGGCAGATAGATAGAGAGCCACTTTTCAGAGTATTAGAATATAAATTAAGTAGACGAAAGACCAGAACTGTACTCAATGCACTTTCTTCCTTTTCGGTGATTCTGAAGGCAGCTCAGAATCTTGCAGTGCCCAGTATTATTGTGAACTTTAGTTGTCATTGTACACTGCTGTGGATAGAGAAGACAGAGGATGGAATTGATGTTAAGCTCGGCCTTTCAGAAGAAGCCTTTGTGGTTGCTTTTTAAAAAATGAATCCCTTATTGTTAGTTTCTTCTTCATAAAAGTGAAGGAAAAAAAAAATCTAACCAGTTGTATGTTCCAGGGGTTTGAATTCCAGGTAAAATTCCAGTCCATTTACTTGGACTATATATTCTGTGCACACTGATTTCTCTGGAACCACACTTCTCATTAAACCAGGTTCTCCCATTTAACTTGAAAAAGAGTATTTTCAGTTGGTCAGGACTCCGTGTCATCTATTTGTGAACAATGTACTAGATAGCATTCAGGTATTCTGCTGCAGAATAAAGAAGTCTCAGGGCACGGTGGCTCCTGGGCAGCTCACGTTTATTTTATTCTGTTCATCTGTTTGCCAGATTGCACCTGATCATGTGCTTCCAGCCCCTGAGGATCTCTATGTATACAGTCCACTGGGTTCTGCCTTTAAAGTGGAATGCTACACTGATGGTTCTGGTAAAAACACCAGTTTGGTCACAATGTACGTACAGCTATTTTCTGGAGACTTACTTAAATTGTGTAGGAATGAAAGTTAGTGGTGTGTTTGTTTTGTCCAGATCTATTATTTCAGTGTTATGGGGAGCTCCTAGTAAGCAAACTCCTTCTACAAAACTCCCCCCTTTCTGAAAGTTACCCTGAGAAGTTAGGGCACTTCTGTGGCTATCACAACCAGGAGGTGTTGAGAGGGAGCATTTGGACTGATTCCGAAACCAGGCTTCTTTCCATTAACACCATATTTTAAATTTACTTTTAACTATAATGACCTACAGAACCAAGTTCCAGTTTCTCACTGTCATTTCTCTGCTTTTTTCAGTTTCATGATTTGGAATACTATGATGGGAACATCTATACTAAGTATTCCATGGGCAGTCAAACAGGTAAGATAATTTTTCTGTCACCTTTTGCCTAAAAAGAATTTTTTTCTTTGTATCTTAAGAGTTGTAGTAGAAATTTTATTAACTTTGCATGATAAACGTTTAACAGTATAATTAGCTGGTTGATCAGTGATTGAATTCCATTCTTCCAAGGGTTCCTGGGCATTTTAAAAATATATTTTTTAAATGAATGTGTGTGTGTGTGTGTGTGTGTGTGTGTGTGTGTGTGACCAGAATATTCCCTAACAAATAATATTTTTAAAGAAGAAAAATAAGAGAAAAGAAATCAGCAAAACTGATAGACATTTTAAAAAAAGTCTGAAAATATGTACAAGGTGCAGCACCTGTAGACCTTTGTCTCTACAAAGGTGTGGGATAGGTTGTGTTCTTGTATGACTTGAAGCCATGTTTGTACTTTGTAATTCTACAACATTCACTTTTGATTTTTTTTTGTGGTTTTTACCATTTATATTATTGCCTTTATTGTAAATATTGTTTTCTCAGCCCTCCTTTGCTCTGTATTAATTCATGTACCTCTTTACTTGTTTCATATTCATATTCTTCATTTCTTACAGCACAATGATATTCCATTCAATTACATTCCATTACAAGTGCGGCCCTTTGACTGAATCCAAACTTCACAGAACAAATTCCTTTAATAAAAGGATTTGTCCTGTAAAACTTGGACTCAGTCGAAAGGTCGTACCCAAAGATCTAGAAGGCCGCATGTGGTCTTGAGGCTGCAGGTTCTCCACCTTTGGCTCCAATTGATGGGCGTCCACTTTATTTCCAGTTCTTTGCTGTATGAAATAGTGCTGTTACAAATATTTTGGAGTATATGGGGACTTTCTTCTTATCACTGGCCCCGGAGTATAAACTTAGTAGTGAAATCTCTGGATCAAAAGATATAGATGTTTTAGTCTCTTTATTTGCGTAATTCCAAATTACTTTCCAAAATTATTGTACTAATTGATTTCACTAACAATACACACATATGCCCATCCCTCCAGCAGTAACTAATCCCTTCTTTTGGAATCTTTGCCAATTTGCAGTTCCTGGACATTTCTAATGATTCTGGGGTTATATAATCATGGGTCCATGTGATATTTCTTGGAGATTTATAGTTTTGTTTTTTCTCTTATAATTGTACAAATAGTTTCATGCTCATCTGACAATGTTTTTTGCACTGTATTTTACAAGTAAAAACGTTTTTGTGTTTACACAGGCTGGATTTACCACTGGAATCTGTATCATCATTCTGATGGGTCTTTTAACACTTTATTGCTGCTACAGAGTAGTAAAATCACGGACAATGATATGTAAGAATCTGACCCAATGAAATACATCACTGATGTGGGTATTAATCAGTCATTAAGCGTTTATTGATGATCTACCATATCCCTAAAGTTTTCTTGCCTCTCATTCTACAGTCACTAACTTTTATTTTTACTGATTTTTTAAAATTTTTAGGTCACCTACATTTTTAAAAAATGTTTAATCAATGCTTTTCATAACATAGTTTTTTCTCAGTAACTATTCCCCTAGAGACTTTTCCTTATAACAACAAAAAAAGAATTAATCAAACCCAGCTGACACGGGGATTATATCTGACAGTATAAACACTATGAACCCAAAATATACCACCTCTCTACCAATGAGAGAAAAGACTTTTGTTAGATGAAAATGTTCAAGAGTGGTAGTATCTTCCATTGAAATGCAAGGAAGTATGTGGCTCTTTGCAAAATGTACTCATTTTTAATGTAATTTGGCAATCAAAGAATCTTAAAGTGAGGGAAGATATGCTAGATATATCTATATTTTTTTGGGGGGGGGGGTGCCTAGGCAGTGGGGTTAAGTGACTTGCCTGGGGTCACATAGCTAGTAAGTGTCAAGTGTCTGAGGCCGTATTTGAACTCAGGTTCTGACTCCAGGGCCAGTGCTCTATGCACTGTGCCACCCAGCTGCCCCCATGCCATATATTTTAAATGAGACCTTCACTTGAAGTATATTTACAGGACTTATATTTTTGTCCATTGAGGGTGAGTTTTTTAGTTCTACAACTGTTTCATATAAATTTGGAGGGGCTTCTCCTAAAAGTAGAAATAACAACTAGAAAAATATTGGAAAAAATGCAACAAAAATATTTATTTGAATTTCACTGAATTTTAATACTCCTTCCTTATAGATTTTTCGGACTGTTTTTTCTTGTTCCCAAAATGTTTAGGCCAAAATATGCATTTACTGGATCTTACCAGGTTAAACTAGAAGCCTGGAGCTATTTTATTTCATTCTGGCCCTTCTGTAAGTAAACTCTACTTCTGCTTCTTTGAGGTCCATTCTCAATCTTGAGAGATTTTTTTTTTTTTAAGACTATTGAGAGCCCCTTTAATAGGACAAAGAATTATCAGATTTGGATTGGGCTTGAAGGTAGTTAATTAAAAGCATGGAGAAAATTAAGGGGCCTAAGGCTGTCCTTTTTTTTTTTTTTTTTTTTTTTTTTTTTGAAGTAAGAATCCAGCCTCACCGACTGTATTATTACCAAACAGCATCTGATGGATACTTGACGCCTTGGTCAAACAATATCTGAAAAATCCAATGCAACTATTATGATGATGATTGTAATAATAATAGCTCACATATCATTAAGGTTTACATAGCACTTTACAGACACTGTCTCATTTGATAACCAAGTTATTTACTAGCTAGTTGGGGTCTCCTTTCAGAGTTCTAGGGAAGCTATAAATAAATGCCGTGTGGTTTGTGGTTTCACATTTTGCCTAGATTTTGTGGGGAATACTGAATGCCAGTTAATTTTAATATTCCTATACAGTTATAGAACTATCACCAAACATTTATGAAGTTTTCATATTCTAATACTATGCTGAATTTATTCTTTTTTCCCTTTCAGTTTGAAATGTGACTTGGACCTGAGTTGATCATTTTATAGTATATAAGTAATTGAATACATTTGCTAATTTGATTGCCTCTAGGTGCTATTGTAAGCACAGAATTATTTCTAAGGGCTTATTTATTTATTTTTACAGTTTTTTAACATTTTTATTTAAAGTTTTGAGTTCCAAATTCTATTTCTCCCTCCTATCCCCTCCCCCTCCATGATAAGGCTTATTTATAAGAGCTAAGCATAGCTATCAGAACAAGACATACAGGCAACTTCTTAGAGATATCCAGATTCTTCCATTATTATAATTAACTAGATGCTACCCCTTGATTTTCCTTAGACTTCTTCTTATTAAATTGATGTCTTGATTATGGATAACTGTTTCAAGTCTTTTTACTAGGAGTGTTGTCAACAAACTCTCTCCAACTTCTAAACTTTATAGGTTTCATTGCTAGTTTCTGTTCCCAAAATATTGACCTACATAGTGTTGTTAAGCATTTCTTGAATAGCTGCTGTATTTCACTATAGAAATAACAAAATTTCAGTAAGTGAACTAGTTCCAGGATATATTGTATATATCAGTTTATTAAACACTATATGCCTTTCAAGGTGAAAAGGGTGGTCAGGACTTGTATACTTTGTTCAAATATAAGAGACTGTCCTTTAAAGGAGGTCTGTTGGAATAAACGTTTCCAATGGAGAATAACCCAATCTTTTGATGAGCATTTTGAAATACTTTAGGGATAAGAACTACTATGTCAATATGAAATATTTTACTTAATCTGTCCATCTTACTTTTTCCCTTTTGTCTAGCTTCATTAGATACCACTAACTGGGAATTTCCAGATGTTTGCAAACATTATTTTGGCTCCTTTGGTCAGTGGTCTGGTCTCCTGTTTTCCCTGGTATCTCTCATTGGAGCCATGATAGTTTATTGGGTGCTTATGTCCAATTTTCTTTTCAACACTGGAAAATTCATTTTCAGTAAGTAATATCTTTTATTCTTATTTTTTCTTCTGTTAGTACAACAGTACTACTTATGGTATGGTTTCATGTAAAAAATGCTGAACTTGGATTCCAAGATGAGTTAGAATTCCACTCTGACATTTACTAGCTGTGTGTCATTGGGCAAGTCACTGAACCTCTCTAATACCCAGTTTTATCATCTGTAAAATGAAGTCGGTAATATCTGTAGAAATGATAATATACCTCATAGGTTTGTTGTAAGGTTTATAGAAGATAACTCCCCTGAAGTGCTTTGTAAATCTTAAAGCACTCTGTACATGTCAGGTACTATTCTGCCCTCAGGAATACAGGGAATATAGGATAATATCTGTTTTTTAACCAAGCTGCTTAAAGAAACCAATTTCAGCATATTATCATAGGATTGTGATATTTGAAAATGTTTCTAACCTTACATTGGAGTCATATCTTACACAGTGATTAGGTTCTAAAGTTATCGAGTAAGACAAAATCACAGTTAGTCACAGTTACCCTTGAGGTTCCTTGAAGTGTCTGGCTTTAGACTCCTCCTCACCAGAATTGGCTGATCTTCTTTGTTGGGAGGTTGGAGCAGTATGTAGACGCTCAGAGGCTTTTGTCATACTTTGTCATAAATAGATACATGATTAAAGTTCACGTGTTCTAGCCATAAGTTTAATGCTTCTTCTGGCTTCACTAAAGCCTTCACTTTTATTTAGCTAAAATGCCATCACTTTCTCATTCTGATGAAATGTGAGTTAAGAAGAAAATTCCTCTCCGCAACTCAAAGGTTACTGTGGGGAGGATGCAGAGCTGGTCAAACTGTGGGAAAGATTTTGTTTCTAATACTTTTGTGTGAAATAAACAACAGCCCACATCCTTTCTGTCTACCCCAGGGAAGGAAGCAGGAGACTGGCTCCCTAGCTACAAGGAGGACCTGGTTTAGCAGTGTTCAGGCTAGACCTTTCTCCCCATCACAAAAGCTACAGCTGAGGCTTTGGTAGCAGGAGGTACCCACAATATCCTTGTTTCTACAAGGTAAAACTTCCACAATGCCATGCAGGGGTGCTAGCATGCTGGGAGATCAGTACTAGGGGAAAAGATTAAGGAAAAGAAATATTAAGGAACATAAGGCATAAACCCTGGAACTGACAGGGTGGGTTTCAGGACCCTTGCACCTACTTTGCTTGTCTTAGTTCAACTCAGCAGTGCAGAAAGAGATAAGACAGGGAAAGACTATTTGGCCAAAGGAGCCATTCTTGGAGTAAGCACATAAAATTAAATGTTTATACAATACAATACTGTACATTGAGTTTAATGAATCACTGTATAATAGCTTTCCGGTGAAATGCCTTAAAATAGTGTATTTCTAAACTCTAACTTATGCCCTGCTGATTTCAAGCAATGTAACATTACCTTAAAAATCCCCAGATAATAAGATAGTTTGGAAATCACTTAGAGTGGTGGGGGGCAGGGAGAATTTGCTACAGAATTTGACTTGTAGCTTTACTCTAAGCTGATTTTCAGTTGTTCCCTTTTAAAGCAGCATAGCATGAAAATCAGGAAACCAAGACTGTGGGAAATTTAAGCAAATCAGTTTTGCATTAAAGATGAGAAATAAATGAAATAGGTCAACAAAAAAGGTCAGATTATTATGGAGCTTAATGACTCAATTCTGCTAGATAAAGATTGAGAAGTTTAGTGTATTGATCATTCAAGCTTTTATTAAGTGCCTGCTATGAGTTAGGCACTAGAGATACAAATACACAGGTGAGGTAATCTGTACCCTCAAAGAACTTATATTCTTTTGACAAGATATAATGTATTCACAGATTAAAAATAAACACAGGCTATGTGCAGAATTTGTACATGGTGTTTGGGGAGGGCAGAATTGTAACAGCTGAGAGAATTAGGAAAGCTCTTTGAGAGGTAGCAGTCGACCTGAGCCTTGAAGGAAGGAGAATTAGGAAAGCTCTTTGAGAGGTAGCAGTTGACCTGAGCCTTGAAGGAAGGAGAATTAGGGGTTCTAGTAGGTAGAGATGGGAAGAGACAATGTATGAGGTGTGGGGGACAGCCTGTGCATTTGCACAGAGGCAGAAGTCAGACTATCACGTACAAGGATTAGCAAGTAGGATGATTTGGCTGGAACATAGAGTGTGCAAGGGATAGTATTGTGTAATCAGCCTAGAAAGAGAGGTCAGAGCCAAATTGCAAAAGGTTCTAAATACTAACCAGAAGAGTTTGTATTTTATACTAAAGGAGTGGTACACCAATGACACTTCTTAAACAAGAGGAGTGATGTTGTCAAACCTGTAGTTTAAGAATTTATAGTTTGGCAGGTGTGTGAAAAAAATGGATTGTGAGATTGGAGGCAGGAGAACCAGTTAGGAAGCTCTTACAGCAGTTAAGGTGAGAGGCGGTGAGGGCCTGAACCAAGGTGGTGACTGGGTATGTAGAGAGAAGGGGGACAGAGGCAAGAAACAAATTAGAAGAGTTGAAGTTGATGTCTAGGTTACTAACCTCAGTGGCTGGAAGAATAGTAGTGCCTTAAATAGAAGTAAGGACCTGAAAAGGAGGAATGAATTTAGGGGTAAAGATAACAAGTTCTGCTTTGGACTTGGTGAATTTGAGATGCTTATGGGACACAACAATGGAAGTGTCTAGCAGTTAGTTAGAGATAAGGGCATGGAGCTCAGCAGAGAAATGAGGGACAGTTACATAGGTTTGAGAGTCACCTGCATAGATCACAGCCTTAGAGCTAGATGGAGCCTCAAAAGCCTTCTCGTCTAATTCACTAATTTTACAGGTGAGGAAACTGGGGTCCAGAGAAGCTAAGTCACTGCCCCAAAGTCACATAAGTAGTAAATGTCAGAAGTGGGATTTAAATCCAGACTCTCAGACTTGGGTATCACATTGCACATAGGTACATTCATGTGAGCCAATGAAATTACCATGAGAGAAGGCCCAAGATGGCGTCCTGAGCCGCAGCCACATCTAGGGGGTAGGAAATGGATGGTAGTCCTACACAAGAGACAAAGAGATTGATCCCACAGGTAAGAAGAGGACTACAACGGAACAATGACAAAAACCCAGGGAGGACAGACTGTCTAGAAAGAATGGGTGCTTCATGGGATCTAGAGAGGTCTAAAAAGATGAGGACTGAGAAAAATCTATTCAATTGTGTAATAAAATCATAACTAGTGATATTAGAAAGAGTGGTTTTGGTCAAGTGGTAGGGGTGGAAACCATATTACAAGGGACTGAGATGTAAGAGGGAGGTGAGAAAGTGGACAGGTGGACACCTGTGAGCAGTGACATGATAGGGATGTGACCATCACTATATGGGGCTGAGGGGGAATGAAAGTGCAGATCACAGGTATTGAACTGGGAGACATACTGAGGGACCAGGGTTTTTGAGGACCCATATACACATAAGCTGAAATCTCCTGGTGTAAGAGCAGGTTTGGGATAGACATGAAGACTGGGCCCAGTGCTGTGATTGGCAGAGAGGGAAGCCATATTTTACAGGGTTAAGGAGGGTGTGGGAGAGAACTGAGTGCAGACACTTGTTCAAGAAGTGAGGCAAAGATAAGGGAGAGATGAAGTAATCACTGTGTAGGGTAGAAGGGTCAAGATGGAAAGCTGTTTTACTGTTAGACCTGGAGACTTTCTAAGTAAGTAGGAAGGAGCCATTGGAGAGGGAGCGAGATTGAAGGATGTGTGTAAGAAGAATGATTAATTTCTGAAGCACGATTATGAGAGGTGGAAAGAGTCAAGGGCGGGGGAGGAGAATTGGATATAACAAAGAGTAAGTATATCTTTTCCTCTGAAATAGTCAAAAAAGAGAAAAGAGTAAATGCTAATGTTGAGAAATTTTAAGAAGTGGAGAAAGGAAGTCGAGAGAACTGACAAGTGGCCTAAATCATCTGTGAGGCTGGATTGGATGTTGACATCCTACTAATGGCAATTCATAAAGTAATATAATATTTTTCATCCGGGGATTACATAATATTTCATAAAACATTCATCTTAAGCAAGGTTGCTGAGGGGCAAATTATGAAATCACAGAATAATTTAACTGCCTCATTCAGCTTCCTCTTTGGGGGGAAATAAATGTATTTGTTTTTGTCCAGAACACTACAATTCCTTCAGAGACCTAAAAATGTGAAATACCTCAGTCTTGTAGTTAAGTTAAAATCTAAATTGTAATGTTTCCACTCTGGGCTCATGTTAATTTGCATGAATGTATCATTTCACTAACTTTTTCAGGCTTTCAGGGTAGCGGGTGACACACGTTTATCAGATATCTATGACAAAAAGAAGCTTAAGTCACTAACAGACAAGAATTTAGGATCCCAAGGCTAGTGCACTAGCCATTGTTGCCTAGCAGTGGTTTCAGTGATGGTTTCAGCATCTGGACCACGTAAATTGTTTTTATTTTCATATTTCAGATTTTGTTCATCATATTAACATCACAGACGACATCCTTAGTACTAACGGTACCAACCCAGGTAAGTTATTCTATAGCAGTTTTTTAAGTAGTGTGTAAGAATTACAAACCCAAAGCCTGTGACTTTCATTTTAATATTTGGAGAAATTCTTTGAGCTTAAAATAAATATTCCACTGTTTAATCTGGGAATCATTGTGCTTTATTATTCTCCTTATTCCAAAGTTCATAGGATACAGAAATGTTATTCAGCAAATCAAGAAGAATTTCCTGACAGTAAATAAAGATCAATAAGCATTAAAAAGAAAGATCAGAGTCTTGAGAAAAATCTTGGCTCCTCTTAGAAAAGCTTGATTTGATCATCATAATAAAAGAGGCTTTGAGGGCAGCAAATATGAGCTGATAAAATTTAGTAAAATTCAGAGCAAATAAATTAGTATCTTCAGTATTAAAATTTCCTTTTATATGACAATATGTGGTTGTTAGAGGGCTGGTATCATTGTAATAGCTCATTTGTGTAGCATTTTAACATTTTCAAAGCTGTTCCCTAAGAAGGGCTCTGTACAAGTAGCAGTTCCTCACAGCAGAGGGATTTGCAGCCTAGAGGTTCAGTGATTAGGTCAAGGTCATACAGCTACCGAGAGTTAGAGCCTGAACTTGAACCCAAGTTTTTGGACTAAGTTCAGGACTATTTTCTGAATATCACAACAGTAATGACAGAACTTAAACTCCAAACAAGTTAAGATTCAGAGGGTTTAAATAACTTCTGAGAGCTTACAGAGATACATGTTATTCAATAAGAGAAGAGTTCAAAATTATTGTACTTATGTTTTGCCTATTAATTATACTTAATTAGCCTATATGCTAAAAAGAAAATGAAAGAAAACTTGCAGACTGCCGAAACTAGCTCTGAAAAAAGCATCCTGAAAAAAACCTGAAGCTTGGGATAGTGCCTCCCTACTCCAGGTGAACAGAGCCCAATACGAGCATAAAGTTAAAAGTCAAGAATTAGGCTGTATATCAGATTGCTTACCATCTTGGGGAGAAGGGATGGGAGAGAGGGAGGGAGAAAAAATTTGAAACTCAAAATCTTATAAAAAAAATGAATGTTGAAAACTATGTTTACATGTAATTGGAAAAAATAAAATACTATTTACCGCCCCCAAAAAAAATTAGACTGGAAAAATGAGCAAAAAAATGAACAGAAAAATAACTTGACCATAAAAAGTAGGGAATAAGACGCAAACTCAGTAGAAGACAACAGTATGAAAACATCTACAAGGAAATTCTCAAAGAAAAATACTAATTGGACACAAGCCCAACAAGAATTTTTGGAAGAGATCAAGAAAGAGATAAGAGGAAGAAAAATTGGGAAAAGAAATGAGAGTGATACAAGAAAATTATGAAAGGAGAATTAACAGCTTACTAAAAGAGGCACAAAAAAAATACTGAAGAAAATAACACCTTAAACAACAGAATTGGCCTTAAGGTAAAAAGAAGTATAAAAATTCACTGAAGAAAAGAACTCCTTAAAAAGCAGAATAGGCCAGATAGAAAAAGAGTTACAAATGCTCACTGAAAAAAAGAACTCCTTAAAAATTAGAATTGGAAAAAAAAAATTAGAATTGGGCAAGTGGAAGTTAATGACTCCGTGAAACATGAGAAATAATAAAATTTTAAAAAATTTAAGAATGTTAAAAATTAGTAAGTTTTTGTTTTTTTTTTTTTTTTTTTTTTTTTTTTAAGAAAAAAGGAAAGGTATATTGGAGCCAGGTTATGAAGGGCCTTAAACACTATCCAGAGGAGTCTCTATTTTATCGTAGAAGCAGTATGAAGCAGTAAGGGTTTTTGAGCTGACATGATTGAATATGTAAAACTCTGGAAAATCGAAGATGAGGGGAGTGAGTGGTGGGAATTGGCCAGTCATAGGATGAGGGGAGGACAAATTGATTTAGGAACTTACTTTCAGGGTTCCTATGATGACCAAGTGCTGAGTCCCCCCAGGGTGATTGTCAGTTTGTATAGCATGCTATCAAAGACTTATGAAGCTAGGGAAATTGGGAACAGGTAGAGGTGGAGGGATTTTTAGCTACTGGCTGGATTGGTACACTGATTTTGTCCCTCAGAAATGGACTCAACTCACACTTGGCTCTGGCTCGGTAAATTCATTCCAAGATAATGGGTGGGGAATGAGGCACCCCCAGAAGAGCATCCCATGGAGCATGTTGTTGGTTTCAGATTTCTGAGTCTCTGGCTTTTCTGATGTTTGGGGCTTCTGATAAGAAACCTACAAGTCCCTTGCTTTGACAGGGATGCTTTGTGAATGAGTATGGTAACTGGCCCCCAGGATGTCGTATTCGGAGATGTCTCTTAAATACTACTAGCTCCCAGTTAGTTACTGCTTAGAGATGCACTTAAGTAGAAAGGAGAACTCAGAAAGACCTAAATTTTGATGCTGGTCCTTATTGCTTGCCAGCCGTGTGATCTTGTCTTTTCCCCTTTCCATATTTTCCTCAAGTGAAAAGGGAGCAGTAAGGAGAAAATGCTTGCTTATCTACCAAGCTAGATAGCACAGAGATTAGTGCTTCAACCTAGGAAGAATAGCAAGAGATACCCAGTATTTCCCAGGAGGCGAACTCTTAAGATAGGAGCTAGAAACATAAACTATTCCTCAGATACCTATACATGAAATGTTTTAAATAAACAGTGTGAACTAGAGACCCTGATACAAGGAGGCAGATGCAGCCTCATAGGCAAGACCCATGACTAGACTGTGGCTTTAAATATATACGTTATTCAAAAATAACAAAACAGATAATTGTGTTTGGGGAAGGAGGATTGTATATTAGGAAGATATTTAATGAATGTATTCACCAAAGAAACCTAGGAACCAGAGCAACAGTAGAGCAATGGACAGAAAAACAGCAAAAAACATACCCTGTGACAGTGTCATAGAGTATGGTATGGACCACCTAGACAAGAGGAGGAGATAGAAGAAGAATATTTTAAACATGTAACAAGCGTGTCACAGAAGCATAGTTTAGTAGTAATGGAGGATTTTAGTGCTCCAGGAATCTGCCAGAATTCTCTCATAGCCAAAAAATTAAGCAGTTAATAAATTCTTCCCTTGCTTTAATGATATCCCATTCTTTTAAAGGCAAAGAAAATAACTCTTATGCTGGATCTGATTCTGACCAACTGTAACTGCTGTCTCCAGAGTTACCATTGATCTTCTGCCAAACTTAATGACTTTGTTCAGTTCTCATCCTTGTCCACCTCTCCATAGAATATAAACGTTGATCAGTTTCTCTTCCTGAACACTGTCTTGCCAGGGTTTTCATGACCTGGTTTCACTTGGTTCTCCTCCTAGCCCCCTTTGCTGGATCCTTATTAGTGTCCTGCCCTCGAGCTGAAGATGCACCCCAAGGCTCTGCACTTGGCTGTCTTGTTATCCCTCTCTGCTGTCTGGGTGATCTCATTAGCTCCCATGGAATCAGGTATAGTTTCTAAACTGATGACTCTCAGTACTATAGATCCAACCCTAGTGTCTCTCCTGAGCTCCTCTCCCTCTGCCATTGTCTATTGGACATTTCTAATTGAGTGTCTTCTAGGCATCTCAAGTTCAAAATGTCTAAAACAGAATTCATTGTTTCCCCTTAAGCCTTAGCCCTCTTCCAAACTTGCCTGTTTGTGAGGGGCACTGCCATCCTTCCAGTCATCCAGACTTTTAACCTCAATGTCCTCAACTCCTCCCAGGACATCTAAACAAAAGTTTCCAAATCTTTCTCTCTGTAGCATCTCTTCCACATTTCTCCATTTTTTCCTCCCCTCAGATACCTTTCCAGGTCAGGTCTTCTTCACTTCTTGCTTGGAATATTTCAATAATTGGGCCCAAGTTGGGCTCTCTGTATCATATCTCCCCACTCCAGTTTATTGATTTTCCTAAATTACAGTTCTGACCTGTCATTCTCCTACTCATTAAACTCCCTGTCACTTCTGGGATTAAACATTAACTTCTTTGTGAGGCATTTAAAGCTCTTCATAGTTTGTCTCCATCCTTCCTTTCCAGCCTTATTGCACATTGTGATCTAGCCACGGTGACTTTCTTGCTCTTCCTCATGTCCATGTCTTTACGCTTACCTTATATCCACCTTGCATATGTTGTGTGTGTGTGTGTGTGTGTGTGTGTACACACACATGTTGTCTTCCCCATTAAAATGTAAATTCCTTGAGAGTGGAGCCTATTTTATTTTTGTCTTTGTATTCTTATCACATAATCATCACATAATAAGTGCTTAATAAATGTTTGTTGATTGATTTATTCATTCATTGGTAGTAATAGGAAATTGTGAGGAGTGTGTGTATGTATGTGTGTGGGGGGGGGCATGGAGTGAACACTCCATGGATTTTTAACATAAGGAAAGGAGAGCGAGGCTTACTCTGATATAATGCCTTATAGAAGATTATAGCAGATCTCAAAAGGTTCAGAGAATGGATAGGATCCCATAGATTAAATTTCTGTAGGCTAAGTTAGGGCAAGAGAGATAGGAGGCTTTCATTAATAACCAAAGAAATCTAAAACAACAAAAAATTACGAAGGAGAAAAGGATTGCTCTCTAAAGACCAATATGTATGCATTGAGAACTAATCAACCAGGTTAGATTGTTAAGAGATGTGAATAGATGATTAAAGTAAGGGTAGGTTAACAGGGTGGACACAAAAGAATGACATGGACCCATAAATGAAGTATCAGAAGTGTTAGAACTCAGAGTGAATCAAAGCTGGTAGTTCTGTTTACTTCACTCTGTATCAGTTCATACACGTCTTACCAAGTATCTCTGAATTCTTCATTTCCTTCATTTTTTATGGTATAGTAATATTCCATAACATTCACATAACTCAGTTTGTTTACCTTTCTGCAGTCAATTTGTTCTTACTATTTTCAGTTCTTTGCTCAGAAAAGAAAGAGGCATCACTGCTATATTTTTGTATATGTTAGCCCATTTTCTTTGTCTTTGACCTCTTGGGGTATGTGCCTAGTAGTGGAATCATTGGGTTGAAATATATATGTATGTATATGTGTGTATATATATATTTTATTGTCTTTTATAGTATAATTCCAAATTGTTTCCCAATATGGTTGAATTAATTCAGAGCACCAGCTACATTAGCTCATTAGTGTCCCAGAATTTCTACATTCCCAACAATATTCACCATTTTGTTATCTTTGTCAACCTGATGTGTGTGAAGTGTGTGTGTTTTAATTTACATTTCTCTTAATTGTGATTAGGAACATTTCGTATGAGTGTTGATAGTTGGCATTTCTTTTTTTTTTTTAATTTTTGTATCTTTTGGACCACTTAGATATTAAAGAATGGCTTTTTTTTAATATTTGTTTCAATTTCATATACATTTTAAATCTCAGACCTTTCTTAGATAGATTTACTACGAAGATTGTTCCCAGTTCTATGATAGCAACATTGATTTTGTGTAAATGCTTTTTAATATCATGTAATTGAGTGTGTCTTAATCAATTATGAACACTCTTGTCACTGGTTTAAGAATTCTTTCCAAAACCCTTGTTTTACAAGGTACTACCTTAAATTCTCCTCTAGTTTTTAAAATTACATTACCTATCATATTTAGTTTATGTATACATTTGGACCTTACTGTGGTTTATGGTATAATATATTGTTGTAAACCTTATGTCTTCTGATTCTTCTTTCACAACATGACTAACATGGAAATATATTTGATATGATCATACACATATAGCCTATATCAGATTGCATGCTTTCTTAGGGAGGATGGAAGGCGGGGAGAGATTTAGAGTTCAAAATCTTATAAAAGTGAATGTTGAAAACTAAAAGTAAATTAATTAATTTTAAAAGAAGAAGAAGACAAAGAGAGTTCCTGGACTCTAGAGAGCTCTTATAGGAGATCATTTGGGGTGAAAGAGAGGGATGTCATCTATTTTATGGGGCCTGTAGTAAAGAAACTGCAATTTCTCTTGGCAGGGTCAATATTTTTCATAGCCTGTCTTAACCTGCTGATTTTTCTATTGCAGTGATTTGCCCACAGGCTGGAGATGGTAGCCAACCTGACAACCACACCATCGAAGTTTTCTCTGCCAACAGCACTGACTTCCAGCAATTTGAAAAGTGGTGGAATAAATCCAGGACAGTGCCTTTTTACCTGGTAGGATTACTCCTACCACTGCTCAACTTCAAGTCTCCATCTTTTTTTGCAAAATTTAACATACTAGGTAAGCCCAAGTACCTCCTTTCTGTTGAGTCCAATCTCACATCCTTAGATGCCAATATGACCTCCTTCTAAATTCCTACTCTAACAACTCCTTCCGCAATCAATTCCTGTCACAGTCCATTCATTTACCTAGTCCATTTCGTTGTGCCATTTGGAACTTCTGCTCCTTTCTCAGTCAACTCCCCTATAGTTTTTAACTTTTTAGTCAACATTCCTTCCTTCTCCTCACTTTAATTAAAACCTGTCTTTTCCTTTGAGGACACCTCATCTCTTAAGTCATCTTTATCTGTATCAATTTTCCTCAACTCCTCATGTCAAGAGGAAGGATTGTCTCCACTACTACTTGAAGTCCATTCTTCTATCCCTCCTCTAGAGACCTTCCTTTTTTCAAGGATTATGTAATCCACTTGTACCACTCTCTTCCCCTTTTTGTTGCTGCTTTCTACTAATATTTAGGTCTTAGATTTTTTTTCAGTGAATTTAGTAACCAGTTTCTGGTCTTCCTTTGCACCCCATCCCACATTGTCATTTTTAGGGTGCTCAGTACTCGTGCTGATAAGCTCTCTTACAACCTGACCACATAGTTCTTTACCGTGTTCAAATTCACTGCATTTCTGCAAACCACTTCAGCCACATACTATCATGTTCATATTTCATCTTCATGTTTGGACCCCAACTCTTGAAATTAATTAATTATTGGGCCCCTACAAAATCCTTCAGTTAGGTTCTTTTATCCTTCTTTTTTCTCCTAGACTATCTTTCCTATTTTGGTTTCAGTTCTCTCCATACTGAAGGTTGACCAAAGGCTGATACCTTAATGTTTATTTAAGCTGCTATCCCAGAGTGCTTTGTCCTCACAGTCTGCTCATTTTCATCTGTGGGTAACCTTTACCATTTGATTTCTCCATTCTTGCTCAAGGGCTACTGAGTCTTCCTAGAAAGTCTCAATTGAGCTGATTTCACCTGTAACAAAATCATGCTACAAAATCTCTTGTGCCTTTGCTGGTCAACAGTCTTTCTACTCTACTTTTATCAACTCCTTGTCTCCTTCCTCATGGCAACTTTTCCAGTCTTTTCAAATTCTTTTCTCACCTCCAGCTGCATTCACTTCTCACTCCACCCCTCCAAACTTAGCAGATGACCTAGCAACCAGTTTCACTAAGAATGTTGAAATTCTATGGTGTGACCTCCTTCCAGTCCTCCATTCCTCCTATCTATCTTCTCTCTCTTTTCATCACCAAAGACCACTCACTAGGTCACATTCCTCTACATGGATCATTGACTGTTCTTTCCTCAGAGGATCTCACTGTATCACATCCTCATTTCTCTTTCATACAGCTTCAGTCTCTCTTTCACCAGCAGCTTTTTTTCATCTGTCCACAAACATAGTCAGGTCTTTCCAATCTGAAGAAAATCCTTTGCTTTGACTCTTTCTAGTTCTTCTAGCTGTGATCCATCTCTTTCCTCCCCTTCTCTTCTCAGCTTTTTTAAAAGTGTAGAAATGCAGTGCTTCCACTCCTCAGTAGCCACTTTCTTCAAACTCTTACAAGCAAACTTTTGCCCACAATACTTTACTGAAACTACATCCATTAGAAACTGCTTTCACCAATGATCTTGTAATTATTCAGTCTGATGGCCTTTTCTCAGTCTTCCTCCTTTGACCTCTCTTGAGCTTTTCATACTGTTGTTAACTCCAGTTTCTAACTAGTTTCTCTTCCTTTGGCTTCAGGAACCTCACACTCTTGGTCCTCCTACTACTTTAGTTACTATTCTTCTGTCCCACTTCCTGGTCGCCTTCCTTGCCCCTTAATTTAGTTATTCCTTAAGGGTATGTCCTTGGCTCTCTTCTGTTCTCAGTCTGTACTTGCAGTTTCATTCAGTACCATAATATCAACTACCTTGGGGTTATAGTTAATTCCTAAATATATATGTCTAGACCTGACCTCTCTTATGAGCTCCAGAACCATGTCTCCTACTGCCTACACAACATCTGCCAGGATCTCCCACTGACGTTACGAACTTAATATGTTTGAAACTGAGCCCATTATCTTTTACCCCTCTCTTGATGTGATTGTCTCTGGCATGACCTGTCACACCATCTCCTGTGATTGTAGCCTGGCGATAACTAGGCTGACTCTTCCCTCTCTGTTACTTCTCATAGCCAATCAGTGGTCACATATTATTGGTTCAACTACCATTATATCTCTTGCATCTGAGCCTTCATTTTTATTTCTGCCAATGCCATTTTGGTACAGGCCCTAATTACCACCTACCTGGACAATTGCAATAGCCTCTTCCTTTATTCTGTACCTCTTCCAGTCGTTCTTATATCATGCATGTGGTCTGTGCTCCGGTGAAAATGGATTACGACTCTTGCCTCTCACACGTATACTATGTATGCTCTTATGTGTTTGTTTACACTTTCCCATATGCCTTCCCTCTCTTCTTCTCTAATGTGCCGACTCAGACTTTCAAGCCTAATAATACCACCTCCCCCAGAAAGCCTTTTTGAACCTTGTCTGCTCTGTTAACTTGCCTCCTCAAAACTCACATAGCACCTCATTTTCTAAGTCTCTGATATAACTGCCAAATAATGTATGTATTATTGGTACTTCTTTTCTCCCTAATAATCTGCAAGCTCCCTGGGGACAAGGACTATGTTTTGTCTAAAATTTTTTAGCTTTCCTAGTGCCAAGCATAGTACTGTTATTAAATTGCTTGTTAAATGTTTGCTGTTGGATATTGAAGAAATAAAACCCAACATAGAGGTCATCTCTCATCTGTGATTGAATTGTTCTCACATATGCTATCTTGTCCTTCTAGTTTCTTTTTCTCTTCCCAGCTGTATGTAAATGGATATAGGGAAAAATGGAAAGATCTATTCCAGCCACTATTCCTGGATTTAAGTGGGGCTTTGGGGGCATAAGCATAAGGTTTTCTGTTTTCTTCCTCTTTAATAGCTTTTCTTCATATTCTTCAAGAGCCAGAAAAGAGGAAATGAGCCTAAGCAGATGGGATGCAAGATTAAATATTAGGACAGTCTTCCTAACTATGTAAGAGCTTAAGACATTAAAATATGTTACCCATGGAGACTACACAATTGTCTTTTCTGAAATTTTTTAAGAGTAGCATGAAGACTGATGTAAAAACAAAGACCATTTAAAAAACCCTTTTTTTTTAAAAGATACGAAGCTGTCTTTTACCACACCCTACAAAGGCATTGGCTAAACCCCAAGCCTGTCCGTAAAACTACAGCTGTTACTCGTAGCTATCAAGTTCCAGTGATTCCTCTGTTCCTTTTGAACTAGCTATACAATCCCTGAGGATTCTTATTCCTTTCTCCTATCTAGACTGCCCTAGAGCCCTGCATGCTCCATGTTTTCCTGTGTGTGAGACACCCTAGGCAGGGAGAATCCTAGGACCTATGGTCTCTATTGCTAACATGTAAATAACACCCAACCAGGACTTCATTTAGGGAGAGACTTGACATGGATAGTTTCTAACTTTCTAGCTAACTTTGTAGCTGACCTTTTCCTTCCTTAATTTCTTGCCATCTTGAAAGTCCGTATTGAAATACGTCTAGATTTTTTTTTTTTTTAAGCTCACTGGGTTTCAGCTTATGTGAATATAATAGAACCAAATTTAATCATGAGCCTAGGGGAGAGTCTAATTGAAAATATAAACCAGAGTCCTGGAATAACTTGAGATGTTATAAACATATCAGAAAGAATTACTTTTCATTATTGGCATTCTCCTGTGACTGTTTTCCCTGATGTTCCTGTTGCCATTCACATAGACTGAGCCGTCTTTATGTGCTTCACCTCTGAATTGGGTCTCTGTGGGAATTGCTCTTGGGTTCAGAAAGTAATAATGTTTTCTATATTCTGTTTAAAGTGCTTCTTAAATTCTTTTGTAAGGTACACTCAAAGATAAACATTTTCTGATTGTTTCTCTCACATAGGCACTGTATCAGTTGTCTATTTGGTTTTCTTTGTCACCTTGAAGACTATTCAGTTGGGTTTCCATTTGGAATTTCATTGGTTTACATCAACAGAGTTTTTTGTCCCAGGTAAGCTGTTAGAGCCAAATTAAGAATAATAAAATCAGTATTATCTCTAAATTTACAACCTTGCTCTATGGTTATTATGGAAATATCTTGCTCATTCCTAAACTCTAGGCAGTTTTTTTTATGAATAATAATATGATAAAATCAGGGATAAAGTTGAGGTCTTTTTTTCCCCTTGATCAATTCAGAAGGAGGCAGGTTAATTTGTCCTTTGGTACCTTTTCTGCTTTGAAGGCATATATGTTGGAATAAAAAAGAAAACAATTCTTTAACCTTAAGACATTCCTGAAGGACGTTATGCCAGGATTTTAGAGGTTGAGAACTTGTTTCGTGATTGGCATATGTAGGTAATATCTACTTTGAGCCTAATCTTCAAGACTTCTGCCCATTATCAAAAGTGTTTCTGTTACAGTAAGGTCTAGATGTCTTGCTGTATTCTGGATAGTGAAGATTGATTGTTAAGTATATCTCCTTTTAATCTTTTCATTATTGCTGTTTTGATATTTCTTCGGTATAATGTTTGGGGTGTGAACTATGTCCTGAAAAACACTGCATCTCAGTATTTCTATGCGAGTCAGGCAGTATTAGGAGCGTAATTAGAAATAAAAAATATGGTTGTTTTCTTTACCAGTAAAAATACAAAGGGAAGTACAAAAATCCCTAATGGAATGGGAAGAATTATTCTTAGAGTTTTTGCACTGGAGTTGGATCTATCTCTGAAGGAGTAAATTGTTTATTAAGTATGGTTTTGAAATTTATCTTTTTCTTTCTAAAATTTTACTGATTTGTTTTGTTTTTATATTACAAACATTTAGCAATTACCCCTACCACCACTTGGTGAGAGATCTCTTGTAATAAAGTAATATAATGAATCAAAACTAACAATTTAGTGACCTCATCCACATCTGTAGAATACTCCCAACCTATTTGTGATTTTTTAAAAAATTTACAGAAATCTAGTTTCTCTTTTTTCTGCCCCCTACACCATTAAAAAAAAAAAAGAAAGGAAAAAAAAAAACGCCTTTGTAACAAATATGCAGAGTAAAAACAACACAAACACAAAACACTCATCTGCTGTATACAAAAAATATGTTTTATGTTATATATATATGTCTCATTCTATATCCTAAAATATACATATATATTTTTATTCTATATATACCATGTAAATATGATTATGTATATATTCATACATACAGATATATATCTTATTCTCTACCCTAAATCCATCACCTCTCTTCAGGAGAGAGAGGTTCTGTTTCATCATCATCAGTCCTCTGGAATCATGGATGGTCATTGCATTGATCATAGTTTTTATAGCCTTCAAAGTTGTGTGCAGTAGTGTTGTTGTTGTAGAAATTGTTCTCCTGATTCTACTCAACTTCATTCTTCAGTTTATAAAAGTTCTTGAAATTGTTCATTTTTATGTCATTGTTATAGTATAAATTATTCTTCTTCTGCTCATTTTATTCTATCTCTGTTCATATAAGTCTGTCCATTGTTTCCTTGAAATCCTTTTTCCTCATTTCTTACAGCATATTAGTATGTATTTCATTATATTCATTTATCACAACTTATTTAGTTATTCCTTGATTTATGGGCATACTTTTGGTTTCCTTTTTTTTTTTTGATATCATGAAAAGAGCAGCTTTTTTTTTTTTTGACATATAGGTACCTTTCCTATTTATTTGATCACTTTGAAGTAAAGGTCTGGCGGTGGTATAGCTGAGTCAAATTGCATATACTGTTAAGTAACTTTTTTGTGTATAATTGCATCAGTGGTGCATTAGTGTGCCTGGTTTTCCATACCCCTTCCAACAATCTGATAGGTGTGAGGTGGAATCTCAGAATTGCTTTAGTTTGCATTTTTCTAAATGTTAATGATTCGGAGCCTTTTCCCTTTTGGCTACAGACAACCTGGGTTTTTTTTACCTTAGGAATCACCTTTTCATATCCTTAGACCATTTATCAATTGGAGAATGGTTCTTATTCTGATAAATTTGAGTCAGTTCCTTATATATTTTGGAACTGAGACCTTTATCAGAGAAATCTGCTGCAAACATTTTTCCCATTTGTTTCCCCTTTTAATCTTAGCTCTATTGAATTTGTGTGTGAAAAAACTTCTTAATTTTATGTAATCAAAATTATCTATTTTTTCTTCTGTGATCCTCTTTATCCTTATTTGGTCACAGACTTTTCTCTGTAGATTGATAGATAATTTTTTCCCATGTTTTTCTAATTTGTGATGTGATCTTTTATATTTAGGTGACATATCCACATGGAGACTATAAAGTGTGAGATATTGGGCCAAATTTAATTTCTTCCATACTGTTGTTCACTTTTCCCAGCAGTTTTTGTTAAATAGTGAATCCTTATCCTAGTAGCTAAAATTTATTCTGATTTTAAAATAAATTATTACTGTAACTAAGACGTACCTGTTATCTAACTTTAGAGAAGATAAAGATCCTTCAGCCCTTGTGTATTCCTGTAGAGCTTGTTGGCTTCCCCACTGTTTCCTTTTTGAAGTGGTAGTTATTCCTTTTGTACTGTGGCAGCTTCTTTTGATCCCTGACTAAGGTATCATCCAATTCCAGACCACTGCATGTATCACATCTGCTCATGTGTGTGTTCATGCATTGTAGCCTCAGAGATCTTAGAATGATTCTCATCGAAGGTAATTTAGGATTTTTCTCATGCATATTAACTTAATCGATCTAGAAATTTTAAATCCTGTTCAGCGCCCAGATACTCTTTTCTGAATTCTGAAATGTTGGGGTTTTTTTTCTACTTTAGCTTCTTCCATTACCATCTTTGGTAGTTTCTATATAGATTGGCTCAGTAGTGACAAGTAGTTTCATAAGCAGCTTTACCATTACCTGTAGAGCCATTGTAAGCCCTGCCCTAATTCTTCTACAAGGTAGTAGGCACCCCAAACTGAATGTGTCTTTGGGCTGGTATTTTTTAAAAAGGTAGACGAGGTAATGTCCTCTGCTCTGGGTTTTCTTTGGAGTTACACATTAATACAGATGACAGACTCAAGATACTTTCTCTCCATATGAGGCAGTGTGATATGCTGATGGGGAAAGGTTAGGAAAGAGGCCTGAAGATAAAGAAATTGGTGGGAAAGAGTACCAGTGACTAAGGACAGGAAAGGAAACACTGTTTCAGGATGGGTTTCTCTTCCCAAGTTCTTAGGTTATTGAAGCAGTGGCCAAAAGATTTTTGTAGTAGGTTGAATTGACTCCAATGAAAGAGACATGACTTTCTAAATGGAGAGAGATAAGTAAGGAGGACTTTCAGTGAAACATTAAGTACTTATTAAGCATCTTCTATGTGTCAGAGAATGGTTACAAGCAAAAGAGTGCCAGTCCTCAAGGAATTTATATGCTGAAGGGGAGATACAACATGCACATATAATAGGACTTTACAAAACACAAGGTATCCTTGAAGGGGAAAATATTTGCAGCTAAGAGGACCAGAAAAGACCTCTTGCAGCAGGTCATGTTTGAGCTAAGTCTTAAAGGAAACTAAGAAATCCAAGAGGGGAGTGCATTCCAGGTATGGGGGACAGCAGGGGCAAAGGCATAGGGACAATAGATGGAGTGTCATACATGAAGAACAGCGAGCGTATACTGAAGATCAAGAGAAATGAGTAGTAAAACTGAAAAGGAGGGTGAGATCAGATTGTGAAGTACTTTAAATGTCAGGAGAGTTTATATTTTATCCCAGAAGTAGAATTTATTGAATAAATAGTGGTGGTGTGACCAGATATGGACTTTGGGAGGATCACTTTGTTGGCTATATGGAGGATAGATTGGAGCGAGGATAAACTCCCAGAAACATAGCCCCATTAGAAAGCTATTGCAGTAGCCCAGGTGAGAATTGATTGGGGCTTGAACTCAGGTAGTCGCCATATGAGTGGAGAGAAGGGGATGTACATATGAGATGCTGTGGAGATAGAAGTATGATTTGGCAACTGATTGACCAAGAGGGGTAAGTGAAATTGAGAAGTCAAAGATGATACTCAGGTTGAAACCTGGCTGACTGGAAAGATCCTGGTAGCCTCAACAAAATAGGAAGTTTGAAAGAGAAGTGGGTTGTGGGTAAACAACAAGTACAGACGCCTACAGGAATTTCAGTTCAAAACACCCAGTAAATCGTTGGTGATGCAGATTATAGTTTGGGAGAAAGAGTAGGGCTGGATATATAGATCTGGAAGTCATCAGCCAGAAAATGATCGTTGAACCCATGAGATCTGAGCACTAAGTAAGAGAACAGAGAGAGAAAAGAGAAGAGGGCCCAATATGGAGCTCTGGCGTGTTTGTACCTTTTCCTTCACTTTGCACAAATTTAGGCCCCTTTATGCTGAATTTGGGACCTCTTCTTGCCCTGGTACACAATCTCTTCCTATACTATAATGCTCTATGTGACCCTTCCTAGCCAGTCCCCATCTCCCCATGTTTGCAAAACTCTCTGTCTGCCTATGCTGACCTAGAATAGAAAATGACTCACTGTGATTTTTTTTCTTAGGTTTCCCAGTCAGGATTCAGTCTGATGCATTTTCTTTATCTGTGGGGAGGAACTATAGGGATGAAAGATTTCTATACTTCTTTCTGCTACTCCTTCATCTTCAGTTATACTTCTTTGTCACATAGATTGTTGTTCATTTTTGTTTTGGTGAGGATTTGGGGGAGGGATCTAGGAATAATATAAATTCAGAATTAAAAAAAAAGAAATATCTGGGAGATTTTTAATATATCCATTAAATAAGGGAGAGGGTAGAAAATGCAGATTACCAAACTTTCATATGCTTTCATATTGCTGATCAGTACACAGCTAATAGGGAATCAATGAGTAAATACCCGAGTTACCAAAATAACATAAAATCATAAATTTAAATGTCCCTGAAAAAAATAGTCCCAGAAAATGCCAGCAGGTACAACTTAACACTCGGATTGCATGGTTATAGATTCCCAACCCCAACTCCCCCAGGCATCTCAGTAAGATATATGGGAAAAAAGCTCTCTGGGATATAGATTATAAGTGGAAAGGGATAATTTGTGTTTGTACACAATCACAGGTTGTAGAGAAGAAATTATCTTCTCTTAGGAATGTGGTCCTTTGAGATACAGTCTTCCTGGTCTCAGAGCTGATATACTTACTTCTGTCTTAGTATAGATATACTAATGAAATGGACCTTATTTGGATGATAGATTATTAGTTGCTGAGAATCCCCCCTAGTTTTTCAGAGAACATTACTTTATGACCTCTAAAATATAGGGGCAGCTAGGTGGCGCAGTGGATAGAGCACCGGTCCTGAAATCAGGAGGACCTGAGTTCAAATCTGGCCTGACTCAACACTTGACACGTACTAGCTGTGTGACCTTGGGCAAGTCACTTAACCCCAATTGCCTCACTTAAAAAAATAGAGAGAGAGAGAGAGATTATGTTATGTCATTGTTTTAAATGTAATAAGGGTGAATCAGTATTTTATAGCACTGTTGTTAACATTCTAAACAACTAACTCTGTCCAGTGTTGGAGGATGAGCCGATTTGAATTTATTTTCATTTGCCCTCCTTGGAGAACTCCAAAATGACTGACGCATTGCCTATAAGAGACCCAGTGTAGAGATGTCTTAGCAAGTGACAAAGGGTGAGTGAAGAACCTTGTTTAGATGAGGTTTTGAAGTGAAGGTATTTATGGTCTTGTTTGTCCTCTTCCCCTGGCTTCCTACATCATTCCCATTAACTCATTCCTAGGAGAGAAATGCTTGTAGAAGGAGGATGATAGCCAGTCGAGTGTGTTTTTGCTTTGTTTTTAGCACATCATCCAGTTTATTTGAACAACTTAACCAATCCAAATTGGTGGGAACCATACCACCTTTGTGGTTATAGAATATGTGTAATTGTGGTTGTGCAACTGAAGCTGTTCACCCTGTGGCAGATATCATCATTTGCCATAAACATGGAAGGTTCTCAGACCCAGTATATTTAGTGTAAATATAGCTACTTTGTATTGTAGTAGAAAGAAGACAATAACCCAGTCAGCCTTTGCTTACAAATTCTGAGTCAAGCCAGGAAATTTTTTTTTCCCAGTGACTAACTGATCAAATAAAAATACTTGGGATAATCATATCAATAATTTTTTTCTCCCTTCTTACGTTGTCATTGGTGGGAATCGAATGTTACTAATGAATTCTAGGGGCATCTAGGTGGTGCAGTGGGTAGAGCACTGGGCCTGGAGTCAGGAAGACTCATCATTCTGGGTTCAACTCTGGGGCAGACACTTACTGGCTGTGTGACCCTGGGCAAGTCACATAACCCTGTTTGACTCAGTTTCCTCATCTGTAAAATGAAGTGGAGAAGGAAATGGCTAACCACTCCAGTATCTTTAACAATAAACCCCCAAATGGAATCATGAAGAGTTAGATATAACTGAAACAGTTGAACAAGAGCAAAAAGCATTCTAGACAAGCAGGATAATTAAATATAATATATCTACATTTAGAAATAGGTACTTCAAAGACCTCCTCCCTTTTTCTATTATCATTCATATTTATTTGCATTGTTTTCCCTTTCTCCCTCACAGAAATCCCAGAAAGTTTATTGTGTCCTCTAAAGTCTGAACTCATAGCACCAAATTTTCCCACTTTTGAAATTGAATATCAAAAGGGGAGGCCCTAAGGCATCTATCACCAATGCTTTTTAGATCAGTTTTTGAGGAAAATCATGCTAACTTTTCTTCCCTCCATGATATTTTTTTGTAGAGAATTTTCTTAGGAAATTCAAGCTCTCCCCCACATAATGGCGGTCAGGAGCAACAACATGAAACTTTTTTTTAAATTTGCACACCCTAAAACAGAGCAGAAGCTACTGATTTTTGCCATTTGGTTGTTCATCACATCTTTGGCCGCTGATGTGAGTGTCCTAGTTATAAATCTTGATGATTTCTCTCCTTTTCTCCTAGAGATCAGAGTTCATTTTCCACAGTTGACTGGAGTACTCACTCTTGCTTTCTTCATTCATAACTGTGTTATTACACTCCTAAAGAACAACAAGAGCCAGGAGAACAACGTAAGTATTTATGTGAGGGAGTGACTTCATTTTATCCTATGTATAGATTCATTCGTGATGTAAGTCATTTAATATTTGGAATAGAAATATACATTTTTGTCACTTTATCTTCATTTGAAAAGTTACCAATATTTTGAAATATCTAGGTATATGATAAAGAGGGAAGGAAACAAGCATTTATTAATCACTGACTACATGCCAGGCACAGTACTAAATACTGAATATACAACTGCAAGCAAAAAGAAAGACAGTCCCCTACCCTCAAGGAGGTGATAGTCTTTTTTTGTTGGTTTTCTTTTTTTAAGTAAATTTTTATTGATGTCCTTTGTTTCTTACATTATCCCAGTTTTTCTTAGTATTCTACCTCCTCCTAGAGAGCTGTGCCATATAACAATATTTTTTAAAGACAAAAAAAGAAAAACAAGAGGAAAAAATCAGCACAACCAATCAATACATTGAAAAAGTCTGAAAACATGTGCAATGTACACTTGTGGACCTCCCATCTCAACAAAGAGGTGGGTTGAGGGTGTCCTATCATATCTTTTCACTTAAGTCCCATGCTTGATCTGTATAATTTTGCTACATTCACTTTTGATTTGTGTGTGTGTGTGTGTGTGTGTGTGTGTGTGTGCATGCATTGTCTTCTTTTCCATTTATATTGTTGTAGTCACTGTGTATATTGTTTTCTTGGCTGTGCTGACTTCACTGCATCAGTTCAGATCTTTTTATGGTTCTTTGTGTTCATCACATTCATCATTTCTTGTACAGTAATATTCCTTTACATTCATGTACCACAGTTTGTTTAGCCATTCCCCAATTGATGAGCATCTATTTGTTTCCAGTTCTTTTCTATCACCAAAAATGTTGCTATAAATACTTTTGGTGTATATTAGGACTTCTTATCGTTGGCTCCATATAAGCCTAGTAATGGAATCTCTGATTCAAAGAGTATGGACATTTTAGCTAATTTATTTGTATAATTCCAAATTGTTTTCCAAAATGGTTATACAGCAAGGAGTTTATATTCTAATGTAGAAAGACAAAACAAACAAAGGAGCTGAAGAGGAAAGGTAGAGGAATGGGAATGAAGATGATTATGAGGCCTTAAAAATTAAGAACAGTGTTGGCAGGATAGTGAAGGCAGATTGACCTGGGTCCCTTCATAAAATGGAGCCTCCAAGAGGAGCTCCCTAATGGGAGAAGGGGATGGGCCTTGCAGACAGATGCTCCGTTGTGAGTAGGCCACAGGTAGGGTAGGATGAGCCAGGACCAGGACACCTAAAGCACTGAGGTAAGTTCCAGGATAGAACAGCAGCAGAGGCAAGATTTTGATGTCCAAAAACTCAGCAGCAGGGCCAGGAAGGGAATCAGCTTCTCATATGGATCTGTGATCTCTTAAATGTGTCTATTCCCTCCATGTGATAAAAATTGTAGTCTACCCATGCCTGCTTATTCTTTGTGGCTGTAGCCATGTGCCATGACACATACCATAAATCTGCAGCAGAGGTTTCAACCAATGTGTTGAGGGCTTTATTTTAGCCCTCTTAACCTTATTGGAAGACCAGTAGAGCACATGTTCTGTCCATTAGTTGTTTCTGCATAGCATGTGTGAAATTTTCATGACTTAATGAGAAGATGCTAAAATATATGACTAAACTAAAACATCTTTATTAGTATATTCTTAGAACATAATTTATAATTCACAAGCTTCTCCTTAGATCATTTGGTGGTCCAACTTCCTCCTTTTACAGATGAGGAAACTGAGGGCAGGAAACTTTAAATGACACACTCAAAGTCATAGAGTTACATAGTAGCAGAGCTGAGATAAGAACTCAGGTCATTCCAGCTACTTTTCATGCAGCAGTGTCCAATATGCAAGATCATGCCTTTATTTTATTACCCTACAAAACCTGAACATGACTGGGGGGAAAGAATTATTTGAACTTAGATTTTTGAATTAGATTTGCGTTTTTCTCTAGAGCTAGGCTGCATCTGTTTTTATTATGAAAGTATAGGTGTCTTAGAGATTTATAGGAAGTTAATGTTGCTTCCTTTTCTAGATTTTTGAAGGGTATTTGAGAACTCTGTTTAAAATTATACTTGTCAGAGCAATGTTAGTAATAAAAATAAGATGAACTTACACATGCCTGGCTCTGGTCCTTATTAGTTCCATTAGCCACGCTGTCTTCAGGGTAATATATAAGAAATATACATCAAGTTTCTAGGCTTTGGAACATCTCAGAAGTACACACTTAGGCTGTTTGTTCTTTTGGACTTAGCACCAACTCATGTAGATAGTCACTCTGCCATGTCTTACGTCTTTAAGGAACTTGTAATGAACAAAGCTGAGCCCTTGTAATATGTTATAAAGGAGAGTGCTAGGTATGGAATCAAGTGAACCTGAGTTAAATCTCAGCTCTGCCGTTTACTTCCCTTTGTGACCTTGGGTAAATCACTACATGCCTCAGTTGCCTTATCTGGAAATTTCAAGAAGTTGGACACGATGACGAGTAAGCTCTCTTCCAGCTCTAAATTCATGATTCTGTTATCCTAATTTGGAGCTGCTAAAATTCACAGCCAAGTAGGATAAGTCCAAACACAGGAAAATCAAATATTTCTCTACCACAAAGGAGGAGGCTTCCAAAGTCCTTGAAAATAGTAGATTTTCCAAAATAAAATTTAAGCAGAAATATATATTCAAGGTGATTGCAGTAAACACCAGGGCAAATTGCAACGTATTATAACCTCCAATCTACCAGGAATCCAAACAACTTTTTTTTTTCTGCATTCAGTTTTGAGGAAAGAATTAAATGACCTGGAAACAGGTTGTTATCAGGAACTTATCAAAAATTCAGCTTCCAAAATATGCCAGTATGGCCTGTGCAGATTTAATCCAATGTTTTAAGTTTATTCATGATGATGACCCTGAGCCATTGTCAAGTACTAAGTCCCTTCCATATCAGCCCCTCCTCCCAAACAGATTCAGTTATGATCAGTACAACTCATAGTTAAATGCTTCTTTTTGTATTCTAGGGTGTGACCGTTGTCATTTCATGTCTGTTATGGTACCTCTCGTTTATTTGAAATTTTTTATGAATCAGAATAAAAAGAACTCATAAAGCACTCCAAGGTTTACACTAAGTGCTTTTCCCACAACTCTGTCATTCAAGTGGTATTATCCCTGTTTTATAAATGAGAAAACCTATACTTAAAAAGGTTGACTTGCCTATGGTTCAGAAGTCAGTTAAGTGGTTGAGCCTGGGTATAAACAGAGGTATTCTGATCTCAACTCCAGTACTCTTTCCAGTATAGCACACTGATCACCTTATTCCTCTATCATTTAGGATAAAAGAGAATTTGTCATACTTATAATCAGAGTTTTGAGAACCATGGTGATGGAAATGCTAATCTGATGTTGGAATGATTTAGCTTAACCTGGATAAATGAAGAAATTGATCATTTCTGATGGACACAAAATGCAGAATGAAACCTATTTTGGGCCAATGTAGGATTTTATTTTACTTGCCTGTGCATATTTTTTACAAGGGTTTTATTTACTTTTTTTAGGAATAGAAAGAGATGAGGGGGAGAGAAAATAAATTCTTGTTAATTGATTAAGAAAAAAAATTTTAAGATGGGAGAAAAAAGAACCTCCCCCTTTTCCTAAATATCAAAATTGTAATTTATTATAGATTGAGCACATAGAAGTAGAAAATCGAAACCTTCAAAGATAGGCTGGAATTGACAAGTTAAAAATACATTCCTAACTCTGATTCCTTATTTCTCTTCTGCTCCTTATGAAACCCTGAAATGAATTCCATTCCACTTTCCCTAGCACCTAAACTTTCCCTCCTTTGCCAGAAAGTGCATTTTATGCTTAAATCAATCTCAGTTTTTTTTTTTAGTTTAAAAACTCATTAAATGTGCATTGCCGTGAGATCTGAAGACCTGGATTCTAATTCTGGCACTACCAGTAATTAGCTTTGGTTAAGTGCCTCCATTTTCTCAGCTGTAAAGTGAGAATAATAACCACCATTGAGACAACTTAAAATATTTTTAGGACATAGTGAGTATGTGTGAAAGTGTCATAATTTTGTACTTTTATTTTTGCAAGATATTACTGCTGCTAATGTTGTATCACTAGGTAGTAATATTTCCCCCTCATTTATTTCTCTCTTCCTGGGTTTTGAGGACACTTTTGCTTCTTTACTGGGGCAGTGTTGATGGAATTTGGCCTAAAGTATTTTAGAGAGAAGAGAGTGGATGTATGCTTTGATATTTGAATTAACTATTTAGTATATAGCAAAAAATAACATATAGGCAGTTCCTAACTTTTTATTCTGAAAGTTTGTATGTAAAGCTAGTTTTTTCATAGATGAATGCATTTTTCCTTAGAAACGTTATAAACTGAGGGTTACCTCTCTGAGCCTCAGTGTCCTTGGTTGTGAAATGGGATGGTAATACTTGTACTACATATCTTACATATCTTGCCAAATCTTTTTTTAAGTTACAAAACTATATTTCATTGGAAAATATTATTACTAAGTTCTCAGGAAAACCCATAAAAGCCTATCATAAGGCAGCCTAAGTTTAGTACTATTTCAAATGGTACTGATCATACTATATTAGTTCTAGTTCCAGGTGTTAGGAACCATTCCTACCCTCTCCCTGCTCCACCCCACTCCAGCTCTTCCATCCATGGGGATGGCACTAGGGCTTAGGGTTAGGGTTCCAGCAGGGGGAGGCTTGGGTGGGTATGGGGTGAGTCTTGCTTATAAGAGAATTACCATGAAAATCAGGAAAGGATAGAGAGTTTGAGGCTCCAAGGTTTACTTCCAGTGATTAATCCAATTATTCCAATAATTAATCCAGTGATTACTTCATCTTGGACTGGCTGCTCAGTTTACCTTCATACTTTCCTTTTATAGGGACCTAGAAATTTATCTTCCATTCATACTGCCAGAAGTTCAGAGCTTCCCTCCTCTGTGTCCCCACCTTCC